AACTCCCAGAGCATGGAGCTTCCTCTCTTTCTTTATCACTTCTCAAGTCCTGCAATGTGCTTTATGGTACAGAGTGCGCAATTCAGAAGAGATCATAGAATTGAGTTGGAGACCTTTTCTCATCCAACTGGCCTGCAATGAACAGGGACACCTGCAGCTATTGTAGGGTGCTCAGAGCTGAGTCCGACCCGACCCAGTCAGGGATGGGAATGTAGTGTTGTCTTCAGTGCTTTGAGGTCCCATACCACTTCCCTTCTTTCAAATCTGAAAAAAAAAACCCACCTATTTGAAGTAATTTGATTGTGGATGCTTCTCATTAAAAACAGTGCAGTTCCACATTGGAAGTCAAGGTGTAGTGTATACAAACTTAAACTTAGTCCTGTTCCTCCAACCCTAGATCCAATTAAACTAAGCACCACACACCCATAGTTTAGACATTGAGTCTGGCAGTGTATACACACTTCATAACATTTCAGCTTTGAGATTTGTCGCTGAGGTAACTATGAATAGTTTTGAAATTATAACTGTTGAGTAGAAAGCTAAGTTCATAAATGAAGGAAGACCTCTTATAAAATTGATTTTAATTTTAACAACAGTCTGATTAAATCTGTGTGCATATCTATAAGTGACTTCTTTTAGTTATATCAGAAGAGAATAACATAAATGTAATGTAAGAGAGTAATGTCAATTCTTATCAAAATTATTTTGAATTTCCATTTTATTAATCTTACACGAATTTATGTGCTGTTAAACATTGAAAGTGAATTAAGCAACATTTTTTACATGCTGCACAACTTTGCAAGGGATGATGATCAAGAATCTGCCAATAGAAATAAAGAACGAGTTCAATTAAAAAATATCTGAAACCCCTGAAGCTCGTATGTCCTACGCACTGTTCAGTTATGCTTATTTTTGGTCAAAGAGGAGGTGGAAAAGCAGCTTCACTGGTGTAGGTTATCGCTCATGCTAATGTGTGTTGGCAAGTGCAAACATAAGCTGGAAACTCTCAGTACCAGTGCCTATATTTTCAGAATATAACATCTGAGATAACATCTTTTGAAATCTTTTTTTTTTTTTTCTGATAGCTTCAGAGAGCCGTGCAAGCAATGATGGGTGTCTGTTTTGCTGTATCTTTAGATTACTAATGTCAGAATTGGTTACCAAAGCTTTTTATAGCTGGTGATATTAAACGAACTTTGGTCATGTTTCACCTGGCTGTACGTTTCGTATCACTTTGGGTATGTTTTCAGTCCCACGTGAACTATTTCAAGGAGATAATTTGGATGCTCATTTATTTGTTTCAAATGCAACTGTAGCTTTTATGTATTTATTTAAGTAGAATTAGGAGGAGAAGATGGGTTTTGGCACTGGAGGTGCTTGTAGCACCTCAGGTTGCTAGAAGCTGAGTCTGTTTGGGGTGTCCTGCTGGACCTCAGAGACTGGTGGTGCAGCAGGTCACTGGTAAGACAGTGTGGTAAAAAGCAACCCCCATAAAGCAAGCAGTGCATCTGGAGGAAAAAGAAAACAAGTGAAGCTTCAGGCATGCAAGCCCATCTTCAGGTGTTTTTCAGGAATGTGTGTTAGCACCAATTAGATGCTAGTATCAGGTAAGAACTAGACCAGTTCTTTCAAGGGATGTGTATGGGAGTTTGGTGTCTACTGAAATCTGAATTTGGCTTATTTTGTATTCAAAGGTATGAAAATCTTAGTACTTCTTACTATTACTGAGTTCTTCTACTGCAAAGAGACTTGCACACAGCCCAGATCTTCTCTTTCTTCAGGCTCCTGTCTTCAGCTCTCCCAGGACTTTTCAGACCATACCTTACTGTGTCCTTTCAGTCATCTTTCAGTTTCAAATGGCCACGGTTTGACCATGTCTCAGCTCACACAGTGTGTCTTACCTTTATAAAAAGATACGTTACACTGACATACTAGGCACTGCTCCTCTTCTCTGAGCACCATGCTGGGCACACCAGGACAGAACCCATTGCGCTGAAGCCAGATACATTGCAGGCTGTCCCTTGCAAGCTCCTGTCCTGTGGTTAGAGGAGAAAGAATCATAGAATGGCTTGGGTAGGAAGGGACCTCAAAACTATCTAGTTTGAGCACTGTGATCTAGCTGTAAGTGTCCCTGTTTGTTGCAGGGGAGTTGGACTAGATGGCCTTTAAGGATCTCTTCCAACTCAGTTGAGTCTGTGATTCGATGATTCCTGCCCATGGGCAGGGCTGCCCCCCCCACAGATCAAGCTGTCCAGGGCCCCATCCATCCTGGCCTTGAGCACCTCCAGGGTTGGGGCACACAGCTTTTCTGGGCAGCTATGCCAGCACCTCAACCCCTTTGAGTAATAATTTCTTCCAAATATCTAATCTAAATCTACCCATCATTGATTTAAAGCTATCATCCCTTGTCCTATCACTGCACTCACTGATAGTCATAACACTCCACGATAAAGGGGAAAAATCTGGACTTTGTCTGGATGCTTGGCGTAGAACTGAATTGCAGTCAGCTGAATGCTACCCAGAGAATAAATGTCCTTTTTACAAACTCTGCAAATATGAATGTTTAATATATCTTTAAGAATGTGCATAGAATCATAGAATCTCCAAGGCTGGAAAAGACCTCCAACATCATCCAGTCCAACCATCCACCTACCACAAACATTTCCCCACTAAATCATGTCCCTCCGTACAACATCTAACACATATATGCATACTTAGTAACTGCATATGGAAGACCTATATATCACTGTTTATATTTTGATGTTGAGATACGTGTATGTAAAATTACTCATATTTTTTAAGGGGATTGTAGCCTTTGTCTAACTGTGGTGCTTTAATGATAATATTATCCTGCAATAATTCAAACCCTTGGCCTGTGATTATTCTGGTGAATGTAATTCCCACATAGAAACATTTATGACGGCACGCTGTAATCTTTGCTACAGATTATCTAGGCATAACCAGTTCAGTTTTGGGGAGAAAAAATTGCATCTTTGCAAATTAATCTGTGTAAATCAGACTTAAGTCTCTCCAAATTTTGACGCCAGATTCAGCATTATGGTTTTGAGAGGAGCAGATATGACTGACCTTACTTAAATTCCTCAATAAACAGCCACATGCAAACAGATTAGACAAAACTGTCTTAGAAATAATGAAAAAAAAAAAAGTTTAGTAATAGCTAGGGCATAAGGAGGATTATTAAAAAAGAAATCTACAAATAATAGTAGAGAGAGAATTTCAAGTGCTATTCCTGTTAGATATGCCACTTGAGACCCTTACCAATCTAAATTACCTTGTCTTTCCTAAATGGGGGGGAGGAGGAAGGTAGAAAGCATCAGCTTTTTGAGTTCTGAGTGGCCAATCTGAAGGTTTGCAGAATGTATGTAATATTTTCATCATTTACCTATCACAAGACAGAGTTAAGGCACTCTGTCTATATTCTGAATCATTGCAACAATATCTTTGCCACAGTGACTTTGTGAAATTAGGGAAATAGTTATAACAAATACTTGCAACAGACGTTCACCATGTCAGAAAGCTGTGATTGAAGAAGCAAAACAAACCGCTGTATCTTCAGTAAACACTAATGAGCTCTCAGCTTTGCAACTGGTTAACACATCATATGTTTACTTATTTTTACAAGACAGTTTGCAAAAAGCAATGGTTAGGAGTAATGTAGAAGATCTCACATTTTGAAATGTGTCTAATTATGTCTCCTAAAAGAAGAGTTTTTGTGCTTTCAGCTATGTATTATGCATTTTGTTTCAAGCAGTGGGAATTCCAATGTATTCCAGTCTCCATTTTTATAACAGCATTGATGCAGAATTTGCCTGCAACCATGCAGGAAGCTGGCTACCAGTTACACATCCACATTAAACATGCTGCTGTATTCACTGCGTGTGGCTATACAAATTCATGTCTGTGGTGGGAGAGAGATGTGAAGCTCTGGGTGTTTGTCTGCTTTATAAATAATGAAGGAGAACACCTGTCCACTGGTAGATGTGGGAGAAGTGGAATTGATATCACAGCTTTGCAAACCTTTATAAGCACCTGAGAGCTGCAGAGACTGCACTTGAAATTATTCTTTCTGAGCAGAAAAATACTTTCTCCTCCTGAAAAATTTGGTTGTAATTAAATTCTAGCCAAGACTAGAACTTCACTTGGTGGATTAACTTGGCACAGAACATGATACAAATTTCTCTCTGGAAAGCTATGGTGAAAGATAGGTATTGCAAGGATTCTTCTCCTCTGAGGAACTTTACTAGAAAGGTTTGACCAGCCTTTTCCATGCTAAACTGAGAACTGGGGAAGAACTGTTTAGAATAGTCAAGGGAACTTCCATGAACTGATATTTCTGTTGAAAATCAGAGTGAAAACTGAAAAGAGTGAGAAATTTTTGTTGAAGTTCAAATAGGGAGATGCTGTAATTAAATCATATACTGACTTTGGTCTTAATATAGGAAGGGTTGTTTTGTTGTTACCAATTTTATTAGATATGGAGGTTCGTGGCTCTGCCTGTGGCAGGGAGGTTGAAACTTGATGATGCTTGAAGTCCCTTCCAACCCAAGCCATTCTATGATTCTGTGATTCTATGATTCGTTTTCTCTTTCTTTCTTTTTTTTTTCCAGAGTTACATGTTATTAGAAGAAACAACAGCTGCCATTGGTAGGAGGGTTTCCCATTTGCTCTGAAGGAGGCCATGTTGAAGCACTCTCTTAAGACACCTTCCAGTCTAAGTGTCAAAAAAGATCATCTAAGATGATTCAATTTTTAAAAAATAAGGATGAATTTGAGGTCATTGCTTGGTTTTCATGCCCTGGAGCCCCATGCAGATCTGACTGAAAGGTAATGCAGGAAAATATTCCTCAGCTGAGTGAAGACTGCAAGAATCCTGAAATTATTTGACCTGTAATGGAGGGATGCTTCTGTGAAACTGCCAGAGGACTTCAACATAGAACATCTGGTGTCTCTGCCCTCGCCTACCTGTGGCAAAGTCCGAAATGAACCACACTTGGACATATAACCTGAGCTTTGGTGCACCTACAGATCCTGTTGAGCCAAGAGCTGGACTGTCACGAAATGGGCACACAGTAGTAGCTGTTTTTCTTGGATTTATCTTGTTTTTTGGTTTCCTGAATAACTTGATTGTCCTCATCCTCTTCTGCAAGTTTAAAACCCTCCGTAACCCTGTCAACATGCTCCTCCTGAACATCAGTATCAGTGACATGTTAGTCTGCATCTCAGGCACTACCCTGAGTTTTGCATCTAACATCCATGGCAAATGGATTGGAGGGGAGCATGGTTGTAGGTGGTATGGCTTTGTCAATTCCTGCTTTGGTAAGAGTTCAATGATTATTCTCTTATTCTATTCTTTTCAACAGAGGTGAATGAAGCAACTCAGTGAGTTAGCTGCTGTATGGTTAAAAAGAATGATGCTTTGGTTTCCTTGTTACAGTAAAACAGAAATGAAATTCATGGTGTAAAACATTTTAACTGAAGGCTTTATAAAAGAGCAGAGAACTGACAAATATTCCTTAGCATATCCAATTCTTTAAATAACTTATTTAAAAGCTAAAAATGGCATCTACAAAGAAGAATTCCTTCTGGAATAAGGAATTAGAACAGAGTGTATGAACATACGTTGTACTTTCCTCTTTTTCAAGAAAATCTGTGCCAACAGTAAACAGTCCCTTCAGCACTGCTTCTATCACAAACACAAAGCCTCATGAAAGTCCTCCATGTGTCATTTGTAATTATCTATTGATCTACAACATGAATTCCCTTTTGTCCCAGATAATGACACTCTTTATCATTAGATGCTTTCCATTCTTCCCCAAAGCAAAATCTTTATTTGAAAATTACATAATGCAGATTCAATAACAAATTAAGTCATGGGACTAGATGTCAGGAATACTCAGTCTGCATCAATGCCATAGATAAATAGTATCTTTGCATCCTTTTTCTGTGCAGATAAAACATTTCTCACAACGACAAGCTTTTGCTGTGTTAGGTTTCCATTCTTAAAATTATTATATTATTTAAATTATAAAAAAGATAAAACAGAAAAAATGGCGACAGCCATTGTCCTTCCGAGGTGGCCGATCAGTTTTATGATTGCACCACCAAACAGCAACGCTTGGTGCATTTATTCCTGTATCAAAATAGATCTGCTAAGACATGATCAGTCCTGTGGCTGTTTGTCTAGACATGACTCTCACCCTTGTCTCGATGGCCTCTATGCCCCTGGGGCAGGGCTGAGTACACCCAAAGGTCTTCTACCACTGGTGCTGGGGTGTGTCTCATACTGGTGCTTTGGCCTAAGCAGCACTTTATCAACCCTTGATGTAGAATCAGAATGCGGATCCAAACCCCTGTTTTCTACCTGAATTGTAAACTCTTGCTGTTTCCAACAGTGTGCTTCCCTTCCACAAACGTGTGCTTCACTAATAACAATTATCTCAACCTGGTAGTTTCCCATGGGAAGCTCTTGCTTTGCCCGAAGTTGTATAATATAAAAGCACAGTCTTCAGGTATCAAAAATAAACTCCATTATCAACAACACCTGGGCTTGGTTTTGGAGGGTGGTAGTTTGTTTTAATCTGTGCAGATCTAAAATAATGTGTTTCTTTTCCATTTTTGTGAGCACTGTAGAAGACTCCTGGTCGCTTAGCTGTCTGGACCTTTAGCAAATAGCTTCCTCAAAGTAACTCTGTAGAAATATATTCACATGGGAGGCACAGGGGTTTTGGATATATTCCCAAGCCTTTGGTGTTCTGTCTTTATCACTGCAGGAAGAACACAGAGCTGAATGGTTCAGTCGCTAGTATTCTCAGAGAAGGAAAGTTTAGGGCTGGGTTCTCTCCATCCTCTAATTTACCCTCATGTTTTATTATTAAGGAAAGGGATGGGAAGATAACACTTGAATTGAGAAGAAAGAAACACACGTGCTTAGGGAATTAGAAAAAAAACATATGTTGAAGGAGTCTTTTTAAGCTTGTTGGCTTCTGCTAGGATACCAGTGTGTTCCCATCCCATTTACTGTGGACTCAAAACAGCAAAAGGGTCGGCTCCCCTTGGGGGGAATTGCTTGTGGGTTGATTCTTCAGATCTGCTGTATAAATGGCAGGTTTCCCTGCTGCAGTGACACCAGTGTGAGAGGGCCTGGTGCAGTTTTAAAAACGGGTTAGATTGGCAAAGGAGCAGCAAACAAACAAAAGCACAACCGAGAGTGCTAAGGGTAACTTCAGCTCCACTTACTGGTTCTTCATTTGTTAGCAGAGTGGCTGGGCTGGCTGGGACTGCCTGCCTGCTGGTAATTACTGAACTGTGCACATGGAAACTTTTCCTAACAGTGTTGAAGACGTTCTTTCGCAATTCCTTTTACAAAGCCTTGCAACACTTGCAGCTAATAGAGCATAAAGGGCATGCTGATGAAGTTCCAGCAGAATTGTAATTAAAAAGTGTTCTCTGGAAAATAATATGAGCAAAAGCAAATAATACTAGCAGGCTTAACATTCACACATCTCTATGGACAGCTTATATCTGTAGATAAATACCATTGTTCATACATTTTCTTGGAATTATAAACTCTAATATGTGCTAAAGAAGAGCTAATGCAGGCATACAACAGGCTGATAGCATTTCAGTTCTTCACAGTGCCTGAAAACAAAATTCCTAAGTGTATGATGCTTTTGCATCTCATGTGTGTGCCAAGCACTACAGACTGAGCACTGAATATCTGAAAATCTTAGGGGCACACTAATGGTTAATTTTTGTCACTGTATTTGGAAAATGATCTGAAAGAGGTATGTGCTTTGAATCTTTTTCCCCCCCTTTTCTGAGACTTTCAGATATTAATGGTAAAGGGGAATAAACAAAAGCAACATCTTATTCAGTCTTTTCCTTGTCTTCCATAAAACTTAGCAGTGATTCAGGTACTTGAGGAAAAGTAAGTCTATTCTGTATTGTAAGCTGGTGGTGTAAGGCCTCACAGTGTAATCACAGAAGGTAAGGAAGTAAATGTTTGTCAGCAAGATGAGTTTCTGACACCAGTGTAGTCCAGTTTAGATCACAGCCTTTGTCTTGATCACCGTGGATATGTTGTGAGTGACAAAGTGGATTAGATTTATAAACAGAATTGCAACAACTATGAATAACACAAAATAATGACTACAATATAAAAGGCTGCACTATAAAAGAAACATGTATGAGCACATTATATGTGACTAAGAAGGAGACCATTTATTTGTTTTGTTAACACTTATTTGCAATCCTTTAGCTATGCTTCTAAAAAGTTGTATGCTTTCTATTAACTGAAAATTACCATACTCTCTGTTGTGCCTTCTGCCTTGTTTTGGCCTGTCAGAGCCAAGAGACAAGGTGGAATAGTTTTAAACTGAGACAGGGGAGGTTTAGGTTAGATATTAGGAGAAATTTTTTCACACAGAGGGTGGTGACACACTGGAACAGGTTGCCCAAGGAGGTTGTGGATGCCCCATCCCTGGAGGCATTCAAGGCCAGGCTGGATGTGGCTCTGGGCAGCCTGGTCTGGTGGTTGGTGACCCTGCACATAGCAGGGGGGTTGAAACTAGATGACCATTGTGGTCCTTTTCAACCTAGGCCATTCTATAATCAAACTTTGTAGGAATAAACCCTTTAAAATTATTATCTAGTCTTTTTTTTTCCCTTTTAATTTTTTTTTTTTTTTTCTCAAGGGATAAAAGTCTGTCCTACTAAGACAAACTTCTTTACAGAACCAGAATTTCATATGATATTATAGTAAGTCTGTCAGCTTCAGTAGACTTGTGCCCTCCCGTACCGAACAGTGGGCAACTAAGCCTGACTTGGCAATTATTTGATGTATAAAACACACACAAAAAAAACCAATTTTAAACTGTAAAAACAAAACAAAACAAAACAAAACAAAAAACAAAAAACGTAATTCACCTTTTAAATCTCTACTGAGAAGGACTGGATTTTTAAGTGGTTATTTTTTTCTTTCACACTTAGTTTTGTGGTGCTATGCAAGCCACCTTCTTCCTGTCTAAAATTAAATTGGGAGTGAAGGCTTTACCTGACAGGTCTGTAGCCTGGGGGAAATTTGAGCCAGTGAAAGTAGGAGGATGAGGTTTGTTTGAAATGCAAATATGTGGCCATAGATCACTCATTTTGTTTGAAGTGCCTTATCTCTTTTTAAATCACATAAATGTTTCCCCGGGGGTGATCCACAAAGCAGATCTGATCCTCTTCCTTGCAAAATCCACAGTGCAATTGACATTGCTTACTGTGCAATTGAGCTGCTGTGGAATTAGACTTTCCTGGGTAATTCATTGCTTGCCCTGAGCACTTAAAAATCATGAATCAAGAACCAGTACCAGGGAGTTGCCATGGGCACAATGGAAAAAATATGGACAAAGCGTAGGTGTTTTGTTTATTCGCTTGCTGATTTCCACACCTCTGCTTTCAAACCATTCTCTGAAGGCAGATGGTTTAGTAACTAATGGGCAGTGCAGATGCTGATCAATAAGCATTTAATGTGGATTTTAAGGAGAACAGTAAATATCTCGCTTGCTGCAGCAGCACAAGAGCTGTTGGGATTTTATTTGGGGGAGCATAAGGAATGGAATTAGGGGAGGGAAAGCATGGACTGTTCCTGTCATAAATGATTTTCCCCTTGTGCTTGTGCGTGTTTGCAGCACCATCAAGTAGGTCACTGCAGTGGAAACTGCACATCACAGATTTGGGGAAATGGATGGATTTTCTGAGTTTGTCCTTGTTACCCACCACTTAGACACAGTTTGACAGGTCCATGGCCATACGTTCAAGCGAACTTGGAAAGGGACACAGGGACAGGAACATGTTCCCGAGTGAACTTGGAGTAAACTTTGCAAGCAGGCTGAAAAACAAATTGTTAAATATATTATGTCACGATTCAGCATTAAAATTTAATTTAGGAAAAATACATTATTTAGTAAAACATTTCCACAGAAACTGTTTATATACATGCATATTGCCATGCAGCTTTGACCATCTCACACATACTACCTCCAACGCCCTATTAAATACTTCCCACTTCTGGACAGATGAAAGCTTTGAAGAAAATTTAATCTTTTCCCAAGATATTTGCACCACTGTAGACCTCCCAAAGACACAGGACAGGCACAATTTGGGTACGGATGACTTTCAGATTTCATTTTCAGAATTTCTGCTTTATGCTGTATAAGGATAAAGCATGAAATAGACTAAATGAAGTAATCCTGCCCTGTACCTGGAACTGATGGGGCCCCACTTCAAGTACTGTGTTCAGTTTTGGGCACCTCGGTACAGAAAGGACATTG